AAAAAAAAAAAAAAAAAAAAAAAAAAAAAAAAAAAAAAAAAAAAAAAAAAAAAAAAAAAAAAAAAAAACAATCAAAGAGTTAATAAGACAAGTAATATTTTAATGGAATGAATAAAATTCATGCATAAAAAAAAAAAAAAAAAAAAAAAAAAGTTTAGACATTATTCCCCCCCCCCCCTACTCTATCAGTTTATAGTATACTGTCTTTTAAATGTAAGTTGATACATCAATGATTAAGTAGAGGTGCACAACTGCACATTGTATTTGTAGGGTAGCCTTGCATAGGTACTTTCATTGATAACCGCAACTTTCATTCTACTCTGCAGCACAATTAGTCCTGCTGCAATGCACTCGATGTCGCGGCAAGTTAGTCTCTCGCTCCCATGCATCGTGTTGTTACCATCCCAAAAAAGGTTGTTGAGTACACGAGCGAAAGATTTTGTTGAGGCTGGCGCACATTTTTTGTGCCACAACCGCACCTATACGTATGCACACTCGACACCTACAGTTGCCGCCATCCACTCGGGCGGGGGGAGCTGCGGTGAATATTAAAAATAGCGCGGATTGAAATAGCCCCGCATAGGAAACGCAAACGAAAGAGAAAAAAAAAGAAAGAGAGAAAAAAAGATAGGAGAGGGCGATTGACTCTCGAATACTTTCGTAAAACCCGTAAATGGATTATGCATGGATGGATTCGCCCTGTACGAGTAATGTATACAAGAGTAGGTAAAAAAGAAAAGAAGGTGTCTTGCGACGGGGAGTGAAACGCGCGTGCAAAGCCAATACCTAAGTAGGTAATAAGCAGATAATTCTTATCTCACGGTGGGTCCATACTTGATTGCCAGTGGCAGGTAGGAACACGGTGAGGTACCTACTATTCTTTGTTTGTTTTGCACGTGCGTGCGTGTTATGTACATATTTATTAACTCTAGATGTATACACCTTAAAAATTATACACTCGTTTTTACCCGAACTTGTTCTCATTCGAAATGACACGTTTTTGTTTGTCACTACTTATACTAGCTTACAACATTGTCCACGTTCACGTATATTTAAATACCTTTACCTATAGCTACGTCGTTGCTCATGCATAGATAAGTACCTATACGTACGCTCTCTGTCATTCTCACGTGCTCGTAAATCCAACACTATCGATCATTATTCGTGACTCACTGTTATTCCAATTCCTTCCGTCGATGGTTTATTTTTCTTTTCTTTACTGCCAGTGTTTCAGAAATTTCAATGCTTGTTGTTTACTTGCTTATAAAAAAAATCCAGTTCAACAACCACAAATATACTGGTATCATGCGTGAGTGCCTAATGGCAAAAGTCTTGCATTTCTAATGCCTACATTTTGTATCCCTCCCCCCCTCTTTTTTTTATATCGACCCTGCATCGACACGGATCGATATTTTCGAGTAACCTACATTTTTGAGCTCAAGAGCTTGGGACGCAAATTTTATTTCCCGAGGCGCGAGAGATTCCTCTCCGACGCGTAACTGGCGCAAGGTCAACTCTCTGTAGCCGCTGCTTGCGCCTTTGACAGATGATGCGTCCGTTGCTTTCTTCCCTCCCCCCTCCCGTGTGTTTTTCCGGTAGCTCTATCGGATGGTGCATCGTGAATGGCCTTGGGGCCGCCGAGTAATACATGTGTTGCGTTGGGTGCCATCGTGGAGTCGTGGAATGATAAAATGAGTATAGGTGTAACTGTAAGTATAACCCCCAATGTTTATCAACGCCTGTTTTTTTTTTTTTTTTTTTTCTTTCAACTATATAAGTGATTGAAATGAGAAATTTTTTGTGCACCGCAGGATGATAGACACGTAAAACCGAAAAATAAACACAAAAGCTCGCGATGAGGGGCTATTTTCATCCGGCTATATTATATTACAAGAGAATACAATGACGACGAGCGCGTCTTCTCTCACCAGGCTTTGGAATAATGTGTTGTTGTTAATGCATACTACTATTACTACACTGACAACATTATGTATGGATATTGTTTTTTTCTGGTGGATAAATAATCGTCGTGGTTTTTACCCACTTACCTATATACCTACACCAACTAACTCACGAATTAGCTTGTGCAGGTATATTATAAAGGGTGCTGTTAACTGACCTACACGTGAAATTCATTGTTATTTTTATCCTATGCAAACGCCAGGGTTACTAAAATAGAGAAGCGATCACTTGAACTTTTGTCCATCATTTTTATTCACAACGATATCGCGCTATCCATCTTTTTCGATTGTGTCTGACCAATCGCGCACTTTTCTACTTGTACGACCAACTACGAATATTTTCATTACATGACATCGATTCATGATGGTATTTATATCCGAAAAAATGTGTATCCATGGATTCTTTGCCCTTAAACATCAAATACAATAATACTCGTTGAGGATGATATACTTATTACGTGGTCAGATGAAAATGCACAAATCACGAAAATGGGTGACTTTCTAATATTTTGAATTGCCTTGAATTATGCAGTATTTTTTATGGCTCGTTTTTTAAAGTTAATAATTGTTTGTATTTGCGTTTTGCTTGTTAGCGGATCGTGTTACGAGGGCCAATGGCAGAATGGCAAGCGCCACGGCCTCGGCATGGAGACCCGGGGTCGATGGGTGTACCGAGGTGAGTGGACCCAGGGCTTCAAGGGCCGCTACGGAGTGAGACAATCAACGACCTCGACCGCAAAGTACGAGGGCACATGGGCGAGCGGCCTGCAGGACGGCTACGGCTCCGAGACCTACGCCGACAGTGGTTAGTGCTCTTTTCTATTAAACATTTTTTTTTGCAATATTAAACTTTTTTAAGCTTTAGCTCGATAATTTTTACAACGGCATGGCTCTGTAAACATTAATACTAGATCCTTTTAATTAAACATCAGAGTCAGAGTCTACATAAGGAAAAGCAATCGTACAATAATAATGATGATAATAGCATACCCAAATACAGGAGTAACTTTACGGTATTTTTTTTATAACTTGTAGGGGCGATGGCCTATCTGATGACGAAAATGCATGATTACAAAACTACTGCTTTTAATGATTACGTGAAAGAAGGAGAGAAAAAAAAAAAAAAAAAAAACTGTGTGTAAGCCCTTTTCGAGCAATGGTAAAGAAGAAGAAGGGAAAAAAAATTTGTTTTTACGAGACGCGGAAATGCGGGGTTAGTTTTGAGATTGGAAAAAGGTAGTCAGAAGCTAAGCGTTTCAGAAAATACACCCACGAAGCCACTCCATTATTAATTAATCGTATGAACGGACGATTGGATGGCTCCGTGTTAAATAAAGGAAATGAAAAGAAACGCGCGTACATAATCGTAAAATAATAATAACGTAAACGTTGCAGGAGCGAGTAGTTAATAAAAACAGCTCACAGTTGCCATTTGTTTGGTCCAGATTAATATCCGCGTGGATACATAGAAAGAGACGGGCGTACTTATACACACCTACCATACACTGTATAGCAAAGCACAAGGGGAGAGTAACGAAGGTATATACTTACTTAATATAGTGTAAGGCAAACTCGCGTTTTTGTGGCACATCAGACAAATATAATATTAATACACTACTTATAGCTATCACACGCTTCACGCATTATAATTCTACCCAATCAAAGAGTGAGGTGGGTTGGTGTGGGGGGGGGGTCTACTTAAATAGGAGGAGAAAGTCGAGTGGGTCGACAACGACAACAACAACATCCGCAGGCTAGCTTATCTATAAGCACGGTTCTGGCGTTTTCGGTGGTGGTAGGGAGGTACAGGCATGCAGAGCTCGTTTGACGACGAAGGAGTAGCCTAGCAGGCTGCTGGAAAGAGAGAGAGAGAGAGAGAGATAAGTTTTATTGCACTCTGTTTTATTTATAAAGAGCACGGCCTTCTCTCCTTTGAATTTTGCGCATCAACCAAAGATCGTCTGGACTGTAAGCATTTGCCGAGCTGTTTACTCTCGCAATCTGTCTTATCCGGTACGAGTAAAGCGTAGGTAATGCACTATCTGCCCTGATTTCTAATAAAGCCGGTTGGTCGGATTACTATGCACTGTCCGGGCTGTCTGTAGAGAAATTTCATAACTATGATATTTTCGGTATTTAATGTTTGTTGAAAGCATTTTACTTACTCATTTGCATTGAAATCTTTTAGCTGTAAAACAATATGTTAACATTTGATTGGTCAATTCAACCTTTGTAAGCCTGTACCATCGTTTAAAATATATATTTACCAGCTTGTGTAGTATTATTTTTTGATTCTGCCTATTTCAATACTTCATTACTTATCTAATTGAAAAATTGTATATTTTATTTAGTCGCGTATCTAGAAAGGTGACAATATTTGTCCAGTAGGTGTGAACGTTGTAGGCTAAAAATAAATTACACATGTGCAAAAAAGATAAAGTTTCATGGTAAATTACTCTTAGCCGTCGCGAACAAAATACAACTATACACTCTTAATATGTGGATTTATGTGAGTAAAAACAAACAAAATTAATGAATAAATAAGTGAATTTTCAAGAGTATATATGTATACATACCTACATAGAAGGCGTGACTTTCCAACCCACTCTATATCTTTGAAAATAATGCAGATATGGCGAAATGAGACATATTTTGTGATCATCAATAATTAAATTATTTTTTTTAACTACGGGCTCTGAACTCTTGAAACAATTCAACATACATTATTAACGACTAAATCTCTGTCAGATGAGGTTATTATACTCCACAGAGCCTGTAAAAAGTAATGGCTGTATGCTCTAATATTAATCTATTTGAAATAAAAATGATCGAAAACTTTAAATTGCTATATCTCTGTAAATAATTCAGGTGAGGTGAAATGACGGAATTTTTGAACTAAATCATATTAGAAAATTTAGAGTTACTACATCTAATATTTTAATAATACAGACAGGCGAAATTGGCGATAAAAAAAAAAAAAAAAAATCTTAATTGTGGGTTATTGGAAAGTTGAAACGATTTTATTTAAGTTTTTAATAATCCAATATTATACAATCTAGTTTATGATTTAACACAGAGCTTGAAAAATGTGGTGTATATATTGTATACTCTGTAAAAATATTGTTTTCATCGAATTTTTTTTTTTACCTGCGACATAATATTATATTGATGAAAGTAATTTCATACTGCACCGAACGAAACTTTTGCAATAAGTTACAAAATAACTTACGGGAGATGGAAATTTCCTACAATAATGACAAGACGATGAGAAGACTTTTACAGCATTTGTCCAGAGCGAAAAATTGTCTCTCGCAGTAAGAGAGATAGATAAATGCCCTGGGCGCGCCGCCTTACGCCGAAAATAAGTACGGCCGCTATGTGTGTGTGTGTGTGTTTGTGTGTGTTCGTGTGTATGTGCTTGCTCGTTCACCGGCTTTGATTTGCACGTGCGGCAGCAGCGAGCAATGCCGGGGCAAAGAGCTTCCTCAGCCGCGCTATTTCAGGCGGCCCCGGCAATCGCAGCCCCGTAACTCGTGCCCAGCCTCATGCTCGGTGGGAGAAGGGGAGGCCAGCTACATGGCTATACTTCTAAACATTATTCCCTCTCGTCGCATCGTCGATCGTGTCGAGAATCGAGACTTTCGCTGTGTTCCACAATAACCCCTAAAGTTTATAACTGTATATACTTGCCGGCAGATATGGTTAGCTTTGATTTCAAAGCGCGCTCGCGTTAAGGGAAATAGATATAGGCATGTGTGCATGGTATATTAGGATAAAGGTATGGGCAAGTATAATACACACACACACGGAGCTTCGGCATATAACTGTTTAGGAGGGTTTTTTTCTTATATTGACATCACCCCCGAAGTTGTAATTTATACAATTATNGGTGCCATTCCCGGTTGGAGGACGTTTGGCACTGCACCCGGTATCAAGCCAATGGCTTCCTCGTAAGATGGTGGTGCCGAGGGTGGTGCCGAGGGTACCGGCGCGTTGACTTCCCTGGCCATCGAACTCGCGGACGCGGCCGCTGCCTCTTCCTTTTCCATTTTTGGTTGCTCTGGTGAACGTCGGTTTTTACGCGGCTGCTGTTTGCGTATTTAATTATCGATGTGATACGAGGTCGTGTGCCGCTTGAATATCACATCTGTGTGTCCATCGTCGTCGTTTCTTGCTATCTTCTTCTCTCTTCTACTTTTTATTTTAAATAATAATAATAATAAAAACAACAACAACGATAACAATGATGTGTGCTTACGAGCACCGAACAAGTAAAGAGCGCGACCCTCCCGATCGCCACCACCCATCATAAATTCTATATTTATAAGATCTGCTGCGGCATCTCTCGGTGCATTATGAATTCATCTCAAGCTCACCCCTCTACCTTCTTCTCTTGCTCTTTGTCCTCCACCATCAATTATTTTATTTATTGCTTTTATTTCGCACTCTGCTATGTATCCAGCGTGTGACGACGCGTTAATTATATTTTATTCGGATCTCCGGGCATGTACGTTATCTAGGGTTTTATACAAGAAATTAACAAAATGAAATGACAATTTTGAAAGTTTCAGAGCAGGTGAGCTTCTGAAGGGTGAAATATTTATTGCCATGAGTGAGTATTGTCATAGAGGTAAGCTTCGAAATATAGGTTGAATCGAGTAAATTGTTCGGCAGTGATTTGCGACCGGCAATGCGAGCAACAACTAACTATTTTAACTTTAACGCAGAGCTTGCAAATCATCGGTATATTGTGTGTTTGTATATATATAAATATAGATAGCACTTTTTAAACGGGATGACGGCGAGTATACAATGAAACTAATGCACGTGTATTTAGGCTTATAGAACGATTTTATGTCCACACGAGCGAGAGCTACTGCACGTATTATTGTTATTATTGTCATTATTATTATTATTATTATTATTATTATTATTATTATTATTATTATTATTATAAATAGGCAGCACTGCTGAGCACTCGAGAGGGGATCGATAGCTATACCTTACGTATGCGCGTGTATGATGGTATACATTGTGTTGTCCTCCCTCTCGCGGGCTGTTGCGAGGGTTTCTGCTGATGCTGCTGCCACAAACGTGGGGAACGATAATGAGCTGCCAAGCAGTAAGATTAATATCCAAATGCCAGCAGTGCACCTTACGATCCTTACGGACTATAAACTCGTCACAAACCCATCCTCCTTTTTATTTATTTTATTTTATTTTATTGTTTCATCATAAAGAATCACGTGTGTAATAAACCAATCTTCTCACGGTGACCGATAAAACTTAGCCTAATGAAGGTAAAAACAAGATGAACAACTTAATTACAGGTTTTCATCATGAAGTGACGAGTCGGTCACATGATGTGTGTGTATATGTGCATGTAATTAAGTATTTCGTAAAATTGAAGTAATAAAATCATCAAAATGGGCTCGAATTTCTTAGGTATAAGCTATGGGTGTTTGTCATTTTCGTCTGTAGTGTCGTCTTACCTTAAAAAATAACGAAAATCGTTTAAAAATGGCCGAAAAATATAGTTATGAATTGTGTGATTTTTTTTTTTTTTACATTCACTGAGAAAATATTGTTATTGAACTTGTTTGGATACGATATTAAACTAAAAAAATGGCGCCAAAACAAAATCCTTTAATTTAAATTGCTCATTTTGTTATGGCAATTTGTAAATTGCTCGTACCTCACATGGTATTTTGTTGCATGGAAAAAATACCTTTTTTTTTTTTTTTTTTTTTTTTTTTTTTTTTTTTTT